GGTCGGGTTGATTTTTGAATTAATTGAATTAATAATATATTAATTAAAACACCTGATTTTTGAAAGATTAAACTTATCACCTGATTTTTGAATATGAATTTTGAAAAGTAGCGTTTGGGGTAATTTTCTCAAAAAATAAAGAAAACAACCCGTTTTACACCCCTACCTCTATGTATGTGTTTACTGGAGGCTTAAAAATTCAACTATGTGGGATAGCTCAATACATCACTCTCATTGATGCTACCATTGGATACTCAAATCACTACATCCATTAGCATGGTGTAAGTATCACAAACTATATAATACACACATTTCCATTAAAATATAATACAATACTATATATTATATATCTGCATATGTTTCTTGACAGGGCCATTAAGAGATTAAATTGCTTCCATTCCCTTGTTGCTGCTGTTATGTCTTTTGCTTACTCCTTTATTGGCATTGATCTCTCCATAGCCAAAGTTGCAGGTAAGCAAAAAGACTATTTTCTCCCTTGAATATACTTTTCGTTATGTTAACAAAATATGTTACATATTGCATTATTCTATATAGGAGGAGGAGTACATGTTGAACTGGCCTCACTGGGATAACAGTTGGAGAGAATCTGTCAAGTGTTGACAAGATGTGGATTGCATTCTCTGCTTTTGGAAACATTTCAGTTGCTTATGCTTTCTCCATTGTCCCTATTGAAATACAGGTGAGTCCATTTAGCATTGCATAAAGGTTCTATATTCAATCAAAGTTGAAGGGTATCTTTAAAATGAATGGTAATACTACAAAGTTAGCACGTGTAGCACCAGAGTTCCTCAACTCGCTAACAAGCTTGTCCCAACCTATTATTTTGGCAAGTCATCCGAAGTTACAGCTTTGTAACAGCTAGTCCTGGGTACAGATAGTTTCCATCCACCTAATCACAAGCTATTTATTGATTAACTCCTGCATGTAACCATATTCATACCATCATATTCGTCGAAGAAAACACTGGATTTGGGTCAATCCCTGTGTTTTGTTCCAGTGTATTTGTTTGTTGATACCATAGGATACAGTAAAATCAGGGCAACCAGAGAACAAAGTGATGAAGAAGGCTTTAATTGCAATCTCGATCTCAACAATATTTTACATGCTATGCTGTATAGTAGGTTATGCTGCATTTGGGAACAAAGCACCTGGAAACTTTCTAACTGGATTTGGCTTCTACAATCCATTTTGGCTTGTTGATTTGGCAGATGTATGCATTGTAGTTCATTTACTTGGAGCTTACTAGGTAAACATTGTTCCAATAAGCCCTCATTTTGATTCTTAATTTACTCTTTACTTGTCTGATACTAGACGAACTATCAATTTAAGTTTTTGAACGAAAGGGTCATTCGATGTGGAATTGAAGTAGGTAAAACTTCTTGAGTTCAAATCTCGTTAACACCCACATTCAAAATGTCATGTAGTAGGCTTTATATAATCTTCCCAAATAGGATTCAAACCCTACGATCAGTCAGTTAACAAGCTGACGGCTCTGCAATTGGCTGCCTATCATTTGGTCTGGGCACTATAACCGGTACATCAGAAGTGCATACTTCCCACTCAAATAAATTTGGTATGCATGCAACAGAGAATGTTGATGATATGAATTATAAGTTGATCCACTTATTAAATCTTCCATCCTTTAGAATTCTCATGACATTCTTTAAACCAATCTTGTTTGGTAAGGTTAAATGTATAACACTTGACACTATTATCAAGGAAGAAAAAGAACCTAAATTTTGTTCATCGTAATGCTCAGTGTGCGGCCTACTAAAAATTCTTATCCTGATTCAATAAGCTTGCTCAAATCCTACGTATGCAGGTGTTTTGCCAACCAATATTTGGCTTTGTCGAGAGATGTAGTAAAAAATGGGCAGGGAATAAATTCATTACAAGAGAATACTCAATTGGCATGCCATTCTGTGGCAATTTCAACTTCAGTTTCTTCAGACTTGTATGGAGAACAACTTATGTGATATTCATAATTGTTTTGGCTATGTTAATCCCATTCTTCAACGACTTCGTGGGACTCCTTGGAGCTATCTCATTCTGGCCACCGACTGTCTATTTCCCAATTGAAATGTATATTTCAAGAGCAAAGATTCCCAAATTCTCTCACGCTTGGATCTGGGTGCAAATACTTAGCCTCATTTGCTTAACTGTATCACTTCTTGCTGCTGCTGGATCCATCAGAGGACTTATCAAGTCACTCCAGACATTCAAGGCATCAGTAACTTAGAATATCTTGTTAATTGTATTATGCACTGTGTGTGGGTTATATATTTAATTGTACTTATGAAACTAGTAACTTCTTTATCTAATCGGTGAAATTTGAGTTAACTTCTTTCCCTACTGAGCCCCTCTTTGACAACCATTATAAAGAGCAATTGGGGAAAAATTATGTTTTGAATGGTGATTTTTTGGAGAATGTGTAGTTAAAAAGTAAGAAAAAGTTTTGAATTTACGTGCAAAATATTTTATTGTGTGAACGTATGATTGAAAATGAGTATGAAAAATAAAAAAATTTATTTTATTGGGAGTCAAACATGGGCTAAATTAGACTCACTAAATCACTTGTGCTAATTTTGCAGTGTTTTAAATAAACTAGTCTAAATAAATTTTCGTTTCACTTTGAAGTAATTCTTATGTATTTGTGTTGAGAGAAAATTATATCTCAAGTGAAGACTGTGTGAGTATTTGTCAATCTGTATGATAAGTGATATTCCCAAAGGAGTGGGTAGAGACTGAAGTCTTACCATTAATGTGAAATTGCAAAGTTTATATGCATACAAAAAATTTCATCATTCTTAATTATATTATATTTGAAACTTCTGAATTGAAACATTATATTTCATTGGTTGGAAAATGCCTTTTTTTACTTTCTTCACGTTTATTGGTATGTTACAGCATTACATTTAAATTCTTCAAATTAATTTTAATAGGGTAGCTTTACAATATTTACAGGTTCATATTCAAAGTTAATGCTATCAGGATGGCACCAACTTTGGTAATTTTCTCTCATTTCGTAATCAGAGAAAATGAAAATAGAGCGAAAGATAGAAAATATGCACATTTCTAATAGATGTCCATAACAGAAGTGGACAGACAGTTTCCCTATTGATTAGGCGACACTATTAAAAAAAAAATCTACTTTTTACAAAACAGAGCAATCAAAGAGAAGGAAAAGAAATGTATAGCTGACCGTTTGAGATGCTGGTCAGTGAGCTCAATCCATTAATTTAGACTAGGGGCTGTTTGATATATCCTTTCTTCTTCGAGTAGTGCATATGGATCTATATATTGAGGTGAATTGGCAGGAGTTTCATTTCCATCATGAACAAAAGATTGTCCAAAATACTGCAGGTGAAGAAAAGGATGATAGTCAGTGGTCAATTTTCATAGTTTATGCTAACTCATCATGGCAAATGGAAGATTAGCACTAAATATTGCAGGATAAACCCACAGGAAAAAAAATTGAAAGAGAAAATCCAATCAAAGATAAACATTCAGAGAAACACATTCCAGCGAAAATGTGCAGAACTAACCATTCATGCTGACAATTACAATAATCAAGAAAAGGAATAAAACGGCAAAGATTGGACAATAATTCAGATAGAAAATATAATTTGATGGTTAATTTTGGGGAACAAATTATAGGAACTAAGGTAAGGTCTATACCATTTTCTTGAATATTTCCCAATTTCAAGGTAATAACCAACTTTTGTATGTAAAAAAAGGTGGTTAGAAACTTGTGATATTGAGAGTACAAAACTTTGTTTATGATGATCCCGATACAAAAAACAGGCTAGTGCAGCCAAATTCATTCTTTTAACTGATATTCATTTCCATATTTGGCCTCACTTCGAGTTCAACTCATTATTTTTCCAAAGGAAGGTAGACAATTTTCCTCCAGTATCAAAATTATTATTTTTCTTTTTTCCAACTACTCTTTTCTGATTATATATAATCTTATAACCCATCTTCACAATAAATGAATATAATCCTATATAGTTTCCGGGAATAAATAAAACCTGTGTTAAATGTCAACAGATGTGGATAAAATGTATTTGAACCAAGTTACAGAACATACCAGATACAGAGCAGCAAATGATGCAACAGTTATGAGAATCAATGGCCAAAATGCCAAAAAGAAAGTCCCGCCAAGGGTAAGCAAAAGTTTAGCCCGTGGAATCAAACCCTAAGACAAAAAAGGAAAATAAAGATCTTGGTCATATTACAGATACAAATGAAGGTGGGACCAAGAAATTAAGCAGAACTTTACATACAGAATGCATCTGAAGTAATGAAAACGTTGTTTTATATCGTACTGCATGTCAGGTGAATCCTGATAAGATTGAAGAATCACAAAGTTCCTTTACATTTTTTACCATTCCTTCACTAATGATGTAGGCCTTTTGTAAACTAACAGGTCGTAATTACTCCTAGCCACACTATTTCATTCAACTTCATTGCGACCAATCTAGTTTCGTCATGCCCTTACAAGGATAAAAATTCTGGTATCAATTGCACAAGAATGCTATTGCATATGCACCTAGATGGTGGGTAATGCACATTTTATCATTTGATATGAAGATGTGAAGCACTGAGTGTGTATAGCTGGAAGACTGGAGGAGAAAAATACTTTAATTCCAAGTAAAAACAACTCAAGTTTGGGAGCATTGTTCAATGGCTAAATAACGAATCTAATTTGCATTGAGTGCGGGAAATATTGCAACATTACAACCTCATCACTCAAAAGGCAAAAATGTATAGCATATATAGAACTTGAATGAGAATTACAATATTACTAGATGGATTACAATGAAAGGCCAAATCAGATAAAGAATGCAAATTCCTAAAACACCATAAACTACTTCTTTGAACCTATTCAATTAACTATGGGTCCGTTTGACTGCAAAGTTGGAAAATGAGTGGAAAGAAAATGAATTCCAGGGAATTGAATTGCCTAGAAATTATTTTATTGGGAATTGTAATTAATTGTGTTTGATTGGTATAATTTTCCACCTAGAAAATGTTGAAAGTTTGGTGTCCGTTTGACTTTATTTTTCATGAAATTTGTCCATTAAAATGATATTTTTCTACCATTGGGTCTAGAATTTGTTCCAATTGCCAAAAAATTTTAAAAAATTACAAAAAAAGTACAAAAAAAAAATTTTAATACACCGAATATCATTTGTTTAGCTTTGTTTTGTATGGAAATTGTCAATAAAGGTGATAGATTTTTTTACCATTGTATCTAGAATTTTTTCTAATTGCCAAAAAAAAAAAAAAACTTGGAAAAAATTTTCCCACCACTTCGGTGGAAAAATGATTTCAAGGAAAAACAAGAAAAAGTGAGTGTGTGAGGAAAAGTGGGAAAAGCATTTATCTAGAAAAAAAACCTATCAAACAAAGGAAAAGTGGGAAATGGAAAACAAATTCCATTTTCCATGGAATTGGCTCCCTATCAAACACACCCTAAATGAAAACAAAAGGGAGAATGTGACCACCTCAAGGCCTTCACTGTTCAGTGCCAGAGACTGCTCTCTTTGATTAAATAGGTTTTCTTCAGAATCTGTTCTCACTGCATTTCTACGTGAGAAATTCCCATCTTTTTTGAATTTCATTTTATCATCACCCTCAATGCTTCTGTTCTTTTCCTCAAGCAATGAAGTAGGTGACATACCTCGTCTCTTTAGTTCTTTCATAAACAATGACTCAGGAGGTTCTTCACCTGAAATCAGGCATAAAGGGGTAGGTATTTAGGCACATCCAATAAATTTAACAACCAAAGGAAAGAATTAAAGTACGAAACTGATGCAACAGTATAAAACCTCATACCCCAGAAGAGGTGTAAAATGTCCTATGGTCATGAATGGATTTATACTATGCAAAGCAATTAAGGTTACTGGATTTATTATCTAGCTAATATACGGCTAAAAGAACGAGCAAAAATATAATAAGATGTAGCCCTTGTTTGAGCCCCATTATCTAAAAACTCATTTTTCTCCAAACTCATTTTCGACCACACATTCATTCAGTAAAATATTTTACACGTAAACTCAAAACTTTTCCTAATTACACATTTTCCAAAAAATCACTATTACAAAACTCATTTTAACATGAAAATGGGGCTCAAACAAGGGCGTAATATATCAGGCACATCACCTTAATGGGAAATACTAATAAGATTTTGCAGCTAGCAGCAAAGGATCTGCCGCAAGCAACTATCTCATTTTCCAGCCTTGCATTACAGTTATGCAAAAGTTCATGAACTAAAATTTGCTCAATGACAGAGAGAACAATTTGTGCAGCATGTGCATATTTACACGTGTGTCTCCACATTTGTGTGTTTTTGTTGACAGTTTCTTAGTACTTTGCATAATTAGGTTACAAGTAAATTAGCGCAGACACTTGGATGTATGCAGTTGTTGCATGACATGCACTACCATTTAGTTTCCTAATTTTTTGTAAAGTGGGTGCCTTGTGTTGCCTATTTAAGGCCATTGAATGTAATGCAATTTGAGTCCATTTTTCAGATTAAAAAGTGTTTGTGTTCACCTTAATCTTTCATATTTTCCTTAGCAATTTTTTCTCCCTTTAGTTATAGAATTAACTTTTTGTATCCTTCTATTTGCTTATTAGTTAACAGTTTCTGTGTGAGAAAAACTATCTGCATCTCAAATCTTCTTTATGCAATTTAACTAATCCTCTAGCAGCTAAAGAGAACCTTAATCTAGCTTTAGCCTTAGCAATTTTCATCACCTATCAACAGGAAAACAATATAATACAGCAAATAGGCCTTAAAATAGTGCGTGCCTACAATCATATATACCATAGCCTCAATGCAAAACCAATTGTACCATTTGCCAAAATTGGTAATTATGGTAGCAACTACATACAATTCCTGTCTACCAAGAAATCAATTTTACTTCATTTCCGGTCCTAATGTTCAAATTTAAACAGGCACATGCATAAGTAGATCATAGACAAATATTTCAACAGTATTACTTACCATTGCTTTGAATTTCACTATCTTGAGGCTTACAAAAGACCCTTAACCTCCTATTATGGAGCACAATTCTTGAATACCGAAGCCTAGAACTGAAAGCCGAGCAGAAAGAGCTGAAATTTCTTTGGTATCTCGATTGAGATGAAATTGTGAGTGTTGATGGACTGTATTTCATTAGCTGAAGAGAAGCCATTTAATTATCTAAGTTTTGAAAATAAACAGTAATCAACAGTTGGATTGAAATCAAAAGTTCGTTAAGGAACTAGTGGAATTTCTAAGAGGAGAGAAAGTGAGGCGAAGAAGAAGAAGTTAAATGAATTGGGGTAACACCCGTGGCGTATTTTAAAACTATCCGGTTTTCGTTTACTATCTTGAGCGCAAGATTTTGTCCGGTGGCTTCTGTGGCTGGAGAGCTCTAGCCGAACTTGGAAGTTTAGGGTTCACACTCTCATTTTACTATAATTTGTGTCTCTAGCTAATATTCCAAAAAATATTCGTTTGCTGCGATCACGCTACATGTACCCTTTGTATCATTCTTTACATTTTATTAGATAACAACACACCATTTGACAGTTTAAAATATTAAACAATTTTCTTGTCAATTCCTTTTTAACAACTCATCAAATGTCAAGAGTAATATACATTTGGGAGTGTACGTATAGCATTTTTGATAGATGAGGGATTGATGTCAACAAAATCAAGGAATTGAAAAATCCTTTAGTGAAAACTCGAAACATCCAAAAATGAAGTCTTGGAATATCTTTCCTTCCAGATTTCCATTTGTTCTTTGTTCAAAAATAAAACTTTTTTTTTTTAAGGGGAAGTAGATGCTCTTTTCGGTAAGCTTTTCCCATGGAGTTTGCTCATGATTGATAATGTGGTTTCTTTCAGACAGCGTCGATCTGTTAACCTCGTTTCTTGCAATGTTTTTCGATTAGAATTTTATCAAGAGATCTTCAGAGAGAGAGAGATCTATAGGTGTGATTGAAATGTGTGTATAGAGAGAGGCATCTCAAGGAAATGGATGGATAGGAAGTGACCAAGTGAGTAAAAATTTTAAATGATTATGGTAACTGGAAATTATTGTTGTGACTATTCTAGTTGGTGGTGTTTGTTGTGAACGATGATGGGTGGCGGCGCCGCAAGTGAATTGAAGCTGAGCAGGATGAAGTTTTTTGGTTTCTTTTCCTTTTTTCCCTTCTCTTCTCTTCCCTTCTTTCTTTTCTTTTTCTTCTTCCTTTCTTTCTAAGAAAGGGTGTAGGACCCCAATTGATAGAAACATTCAATTTAACTATTGTGAAGTCCATTTTGATGTTGAAAAGGCTCATCGTTTTTTACTATTGGAGGTTCGATAAAATTTATGGGATTAAAAAAGAAAGATGTGTTAAGGAAAATGTTAATTGTTTTGTTCAATCTCGTCAAGTGCATTATCAAAAATGTCATAATAGATTAATGCAAAACAAATCTTTCCTCAGGAGAAGCACAAGGCCTACCTTAATTAGTTCTCATATTACTATGCCAGTTCTTGATGTCAAAAGCTGAAATCTTTTGGCTATTGCAAAATGAAGTATAAATCAAATTGTAAACAATCCCATCTGACCAAGACATTGAGTTATATAAAATTATTTGTACCAAGACATAAATTTTTGTTCAAACTGCAGCAGACATTTTTACATAATATCCAGCTTTGATCTTCATCCAGTACAATTCTTAATTGGATTAAATCCTGAACCTAAGAACCAGTACATATGTTCAGCAAAAAGGGTTTTTCATTGAGACAATGTTCTTATGTACCTCTGTGTAACTAATCTATTCCAAAAAATAGCGAAATGAATTGATAATGCGAGTCAAAACCTTAACCGAATAGGCTTACTTTATGGTTTCAATACCAATGAGATTCAAGAAACAATTTGAGTTCAATACCAAATAGATTAAGCAGATGTCTTGATCAGTTTCAAATAGCAGAAATCTAGTGATTTCACTGGAAATCATTCGAATAAATTGCAAATCTTAGCTGCTATATATTTCAAATATGTTAAAATCAGTAAATGCAAGTAACTATGAACTATGATCAATTAAATTGTAAAAAGAAATCATATAGTTTAAGCATAAGCCACACTTCAAAAACTAGATTAATAGAAAAAGATAAACAAACTGCTGGCACTACAATATTAGTCTGTTCAGAATTACAAACTTACAATCAATCACTAGACTAAGAAACTGAGATTGGTTCACATTAGAGATGTGCTGCTCCTACCAGAGTTACATAATATCAAAAGGAAAGCGTTAAATTGTCACTGAGAAGTGACCTGTTTCCTGAGTCTGCTCGAGCGCCTCACCGGCGTAATAATTTCATCATCTCCATTAACCTTCAAAAAAGATAAAAACCAGATATCAATATAAATATAATATGCACAAACATCTATACAAAAAAAAAAAAAAAAGTTAGCAGTCAAGTACTTACATGCTTGATTGGGATCCTCTCGTAAGTGGTGAAGCTTCCATATGAAGGTGAACCAGAATATTCCGATGAAGAAGCCAATGACTCCCTTTTCAAATATTTCCTTGTGTTCCGGTCATGGCTTTGAGCTTCATTTGATACTCCTTTTACGCTGTGAGCCAACGAGTTCTTCTCGAAACTGCTCATTTCTGAAGGACACAACGACTCTCCAATCACATCCTCTGTTGTCCAATTCTGAAAGGAAGGTTCTGCATCAACAGCTAATCCAGAGATTGTCTTCTTCCTCAACAATGGATCCGTATAAGGGACAGCATTTGATGACTTAGAAGTTCTTCGATTCCTATGGATGAAAGCTGCAGCTGTCAATAATGCAACAACTAGGTAAGAAACTCCCTCAACAGCAAATTTACCATCTACTCGACTAAGTGTTGACTCCACCACTGGTGTACCCTCGACACCTTTACCCAGGGAATCAATTTTAGATAAGGTTTCATGATCCAACAACGTAAGATCAGCCTGTGTACTTGAATCAGGACCATTGCCACCTTTGATTTTCTTAGTTGCAATTACTTCAGGCTTAACAATATTGGCTTCACTTTGAATTTCAAGATCCGACAAATCAATAGCCAATAGATCTTCGAAGATTGTGTCACTCTGCTGCTCAGCATTGATATAAGAGACAATCTCTCGTTCATTCTTTAAGTTTTCTTGATTGCGAGGCGTTGATTCTGCATGCTGTGCTGGAGTAGCTGGGGATACTTCTTCGACTTCCTTATCAATGATCTCATCAGAATCAATCTCTGCAGAAACTTCATCCTCAAATTCCCACGGTTCAGTGTCTAAATCCTCTTCCATTTCATTTTCTTCTAATACATTTGGTACCTCTTCCATTTCCTGGTCAATGATCTCATCAGAATCAACCTCTGCAGAAACTTCCTCTTCAAATTCCTGAAATTCAGTGTCTACATCCTCTTCCATCTCATTTTCATCGAATTCTTTGCTGAACTGCTTATTCATAAAGTGTTCATCAATCATTATCTCCTTCTGTAAATCAGTCAAGTTCAAGAACTGCAAAGTTCCCAGTTTATCTTCTCTACCAAAAACAGTAATCAGCTTAGAGATATAGGAAATAGAATTAACTGAATACGGATTTACATATCTGACAAATCTATCCAAATTTGTTTTCGTAAAAGCAGCAGCACTTGATTCATAAAAAAGATTAGTTAGGCTCAAATCTTTAAGCCTAGACGTACAAGTGACTGGCAAATCAGTAACCGATACTGATACACATGCAATCAAGAATATCAAAAGCAAAGAAACCCAATTCAATCTAGGGAAAACCCATGATGGTCTCTTATCCCTTTTCGCCTCAAAATTCCCCTCAGAAATTACATCAGGAACAGTTGCACTGATGGGTAATGAATCAGAAACACGAGTCTCTTCTTTTTCATCTACTCCCAGCACCATATCTTCTTCTTTTTCATCCAATCCCAACACCATTTCGATTGAAGAAGTATCCTCTGATTCTTCTTTCTGCGTAGACTGCGTAGACTCTTCTGTGCCATCAGGAATTACACCAGGAACAGTTGCACTGATGGGTAATGAATCAGAAACACGAGTCTCTTCTTCTTTTTCATCTACTCCCAGCACCATATCTTCTTCTTTTTCATCTAATTCCAACACCATTTCGATTGAAGAAGTATCCTCTGATTCTTCTTGCTGCGTAGACTCTTCTGTGCCATCAGAGTCTGAACTGTTTCCGGACATAATTTCTGTCATAAAACTATCTTCTAACTTGTTGAATTCATCAGAATCGATCCCCTTTCGCTTGTTCAAAAGAATTTCGATTCGAGGATTTGGTTTATAATGAAGAAACTGAGGCCTTGGAGAAAGGTAATTGGTTTTAGGGTCGTAAGGAGGCATGGAAGGGTCAGCATCAAGTGGGGCTATAACAGGGGATTCATATGAACAAGAAGTCTTGTTCTCATTAAAACAATCAGAATCTATAATTACTGAATCCGACATCGAATCAAATGTATTCTTAGAATCTGAAGGTACCTCTAAGAATGTCACTTTCTTCAACGGCTTAGAAGCTGGAGGACCTTCGAGAACAGACTTTCTCTCTGCCTTATCAGATACTTCATCAGATACTTTCGGGTAGAGAGAACTCTCCGAGATCTTGTTCAGATTTGAATCCATATCAAATTTTGGCTCGGTATCTTCAAAATCCGCAGAGAAAAACAAAGCTTTTCCATCGGACAGCGACATTGAAGTCCGAACCGGGTCATTTCTCTCCACCAATGCTTTCTTTCTTGGTGATGGGGTGAACTTGGATGCTGCAGAAATCGTTGGAGACATGAAATTCTTGGAACCCGAACCCACCTCCCGGATCTTTGCTGCTTTTAAGTTGTGAGCTTTTTCATCATTCTCTTTTTCATCATGATCTTTCGAAGCAAATATGCCTTCTTTCCCCACCGATCGTCTTCTTGCAAAATCTGAAGATCCATAAACACAAATCAATAACAAAAAATCACAAAAAATTCATAAAAAATTACTAAAACCAAGAAAGTAGATTAACAAACCTGAAGGGCTATTGGCAGGGGTACTGGGGTAAAAATTTCTCGGATTCGTGTGAACCGAGGGGCGAGAATTTCCAGTGAAACTCCTTCTGGGTCCAGAATTAACTTCAGAAATTTTGGGATTTGGATTGATGGGCCTGGTGGAAAGTGGAGAAGGAGATCTGTTTGAATAACCCGCCATTGATACACTAATTCTGCTCTAACCAAAAAAGACTGGGAGAGAAGTAAATCTTCTTGTGAGAGGAAAGAAAATCTTGAACTGAAGAAGAATTGTGAATGATTTTGTGAAGATCTTGATCCTGATTTGATGAAGATAATGAATGTGAATTTCTTGAGAGATTGGTAACGTCTAGTTTTGAAATCAAGAACGATTTTTTTCTGACCGTTGAGTGAAGGAAATTTTAAAAGTTGAATAATTTGTAAAGTAGGTGAAAAAGTGTATAGCCGTTGGATTGGATTGTGACAAAGGGTCGCGTTTCGTAGTGGTGGCAAACTAGCCGAGCCGAGCCGGCTCGGCTCGNGAGCTCGGCTCGGCCCACGAGCTCGTACTGTAGCGAGCCAGCCGAGCTACTCGGCTCGGACTCGCTTTTTTTGAATTTTTTTTTTAACTATCATCATTTAAAAAAAAAAAGGACGAGTCGCTCGTCAAAAACGAGCCGAGCGGGCTCGGCTCGCCTACCGAGCTGGCCTGCTCGGCTCGTGCTCGGGCTCGTTTTTTGACGAGCCCCAGCGGCTCGTGGGCCACTACAGTACGAGCCGAGCGGACGAGCCGCTCGGCTCGATTGCCACCACTCCGTTTCCTGTGAAATAAAATTCTTGGGGATTTAAATGTTAAGGGAAAAATATTGGGTACTTATTTGCTACAATACCCATAAGTTGGGGATCCCATTGAAATTATCCTGTCCAAATTAGGGTTCACCATTCTTTTTTGTGAAATTTTATCTACTAATGACATTATTGTTGTAAGCTAAATTTGATACTACCGAATAAGATTAAAAAGAAAAGCGTTTTAAGATGTTTATTTATCCTCAGTTTGAGTTTCATTTTCGGGAGAAAATAGATATTTTAATAGTGATTTTTTTTTCCTTTTTTAGAAATAGTGAAAAAAATTTGAATTTACGTGCAAAATTATTTTATTAAAAAAATATATAATTAAAAATGAATTTAAAGAAAAATAATTTTTTTAAAAAATGAGGCTCGAACGCAAACTTATTATTTTATACATAATTTTTCATTGCAGGAAAAATAAAGAATATTTTTATTTTATATATTTTACTGAGAATTAAAGATACATTGTATTTATTAGTGTTCTAAAAGATTCGTCTAAACTCGATGTTCGGAGAAAATGTCCCACCTCACATCTACGTTGACCGCCTTAGGGCGCATAGGCAGAAAAAGGTCACAACTATTCTTTTGTAACTATATTTATTTTCTTATTTTGAAATCCAGCTCAATAGATCTACCATTGCAAAATCTTAATAATGGAAATAAGTTGAAAAAATTCACCCTAGTCCAAACTCAGCCCACACGACCCATGAACATAACATTATTTATTTGGAGTATTTTTTTTTATTTTGATAATTATGTTTTTATTGAAAATTTGAATAATATGTATGTACCTACAAATTTTTAATCTATGCATTATTTTATTATTTATTGGTCTACGATAATTATATTTTTAAATACATTTAAAATTCAAAAAATTTCTATTCCATCACTTCCATCTTTTTTCCTTATCATGTTAATCTCAATCCATTACAAAAGCAAACAAGCACATATTCCATAAACCTAATGAGCTATATATAAATTTATACACATAACTAATAAGTTAACAAAGAATAGTTTACCCAAACAATATCATCAAGAAATAATGTATTCAGTGGCGAATTTAGTATGGGATAGTGGGATCAAGTGTCGCCATGCTAAATTTCAAATTCAAGATTTTGCACAAGATTTTCAAAAATTTCTTATATTTTTCAATTTTGCTATCACAATTAAAAATTTGTGAAATTTATCCTCACCACTCTACAATCCTACATTCTCCTTCCTTTCTCTCTCTTTAAGCTCCAAATGAAAAATGGGTCCTAATTCAATTAGTGGAGCACTATGGTAAACCTCTAACTTATTATTAATATTTAAATCTTGATTTAATATAATAGCAACATGACCCTTTAAAATTCATTTACTTAATTCTAACTCTCATTTGAGTAATTGAATTTTTAACTTTGACAAAATAATTTTGCCTCTGATTGGTGATCCTTCGTTTCATACCTATTTTCTAATAATTGTACAAAAGATTAAATTCTTAGACTTGTCATATTCTAATGATCCGTGAGACGGAACAAGGAAGATTAAAAGTTAGTTCTCCCTATTCACCCACCACTTATCCATTTTTTGAAAAGACTGTTTTGGAAACGTTAGAAAACATCGACAAAAAATACAAATCTTTTGTGATTTTAAACCTACAACATAGAAGGCCACTCCACCACTTCCTCCACCGCATCGTCGTCTACTCCATATTGCTACCACCACCTTCAACAAACCAAATGGGAGAAATTAGTAACTTTACATTGTAAACACTCGTTATTCATTCATAAATAAATATAATTTAATGATTTTTTACAATAATTACTGTGAATTATATTCTCTCATAAATTTTCTGCTACATTTTCTTCATAGGCCAAAAAAAAAATATTCATTAATCTCTCTCTCTCTCTCTCTCTCTCTCTCTCTCTCTCTCTCTCTCTCACTCACAGACAGACACACAGACACACAGAGTGCATCAGATGAGAAACTATAATGCAAGCTTAGATATTCCATGCCATCCCATTGTCAAGAAGACTATATTGTGGTATTTACTTGCACATTCAAATATTCTCTTGTACATAGACACTTATCTTTGCCCATTGCAAAGTTAATATACTTTATGTAATGTTTTTATTTATTTAAGGTATTTGATTTATCTGCCAATTAAAAGTTGTTTGCTAGACAAATGATGGGATATAAAGAACTAGTTTGTCTGATTGTTAATTAGTGCTAATATTTATGACTCCATAAAATTGGCAATTGGTAGTTTATTTCCTGGATAATCAAAGAAAAAGAAAAACTTTATTCGAGTTTTCCCTATCGTGGTCGTTATGCATTTTTGTTGATGAAATATTTATGGTCCTTGTATTTTAATGGTTCAAGAACTTGAAATTGTATGTTTTAGATCTTTACATGATGATGGTTGCAGAGCAATTTGATTAGTTAAATTCAGATAGGATTCTCTCCCCTATTAGTCGAAGGTGGTGGTGTGGTATGGAGTCGTTGACAATGTGATGGTAGATAAGTGGTGGGTATAGAAAGGAGGAGACTAAACGATCGGGACAAAAATAAGACTAAAAAAATTGATTAGGGACATGATCGTTACTTTTGCCAAAGATTAGGTTAAATGTGCAATTTACTGTTAAATTAAGTGCATTCCATGCCCCCTCATGAACAGAATCTAACCAAAAGGACCATTTGTACCAAAAATACAAATTTTTTGTGCTATTTGCGCTACATTTGAACTTTGAAGGGTATGGAACCAAAAGGCACAATAACAAAAGGTGAGGATCATTTGCGCTAATTTCCCTAAATATTTGGGCAAAACTTCAACGGTTCACTCGCCGAGATACTTAAACCCTCCAATACTTTTCCGCGTCAAAGATAAGACGTTTAACTCCCACCATCTCACTCAGCCATGTCGTTGCTCCTGCGCAGCCTTCCTACCGCCGCCGCCCTCCGCCCCAAACCGTCACTTCTCCTCCACCTCCCCATCCTCCACCTCACCCTCCACCATACCAGTTCCAGCCCAATTAGACCCCTCCAAAAACGAGCCTTTTCCTCTATGCATTCTTCTTCTTTTCCCCCTCCTGAAACACTCAATATCCCTACTCCCAAGAAAATGGTGAATCCTTCCGTATATTCCAGCACAAACACCCTCGAATGGGTCAACCGCACTGCTTTTTGTGGAGAGTTATCCGAATTGGATGTTGGTAAACGGGTTCGCGTCTGCGGGTGGGTTGCCCTTCACCGGGTTCACGGGGGACTCACTTTCGTTAACCTGCGTGACCATACTGGAATAGTTCAGGTATCTTTGTAATTGTTCTTAATTGTTTGTTGTGTAGTAATTGGTTTGTAGTCTGTATTTTTTTGAATTTTTTTGTTTAACTAGATTACAACGCTCCCGGATGAGTTTCCCGAGGCACATTCAGTTGTGAATAACTTGAGGCTTGAATACGTGATTGCCGTGGAAGGCTTGGTAAGACATCGGCCCAGTGAGTCCATCAATAAGAAAATGAAGACGGGCTTGATAGAGGCGAGTTATACTTAATTCCAGAGCTTAGACGCATCACCTGCACTTTTTATCAATAAAAGTTCTAATTGCTAAAAGTATTATTAGCTGCTATGTTGTTTATTATTGCCTACACAAGCTTTATGCCAATGCAAGTAATTGAAGAGTCATCTAAAATGGTCTTAAAAATTCTTTATTAGTAGCATTCCCTTCCATGTTGTTTATTTAGCCTACGCGAGCTTTATGCCAATGTAATTACATACATAATTGAAGTCATCTGAAGTGGCCTTCAGTTCATTGGTTCGGGGTATGCACGGAAAAGAACATGGATGTTTGACTTTGATAATTTTTATCAAACAAGCTCTTGGTTTTTTATTGGAAAAGCTAGTCCTTTATAACTCTTCAGTTTCCAAATAATTGGCTAGCTCGTTTTTTATTGTTCCCATTTCAAAAGTTTCCATTTTCCCACTGAATTGGGTGTTTGTACAGGTTGCTGTTGAGAATGTCCAAGTGTTGAATGCAGTGAGGTTAAAGTTGCCTTTCTTGGTTACGACTGCAGAGGATGCAAAGGATTTTGTTAAAGAGGAAATAAGACTGCGGTAATTGGTTTAAGGGTTATCCATCCATGCTAACAATGAGTGATTGACGTTTTTCCATCTAGATTTTTTATTTTTATATTTTTATGCCACCTGTTATGAAATGTTTACGACTACATGAAAGAAAGTATGTCAGAGCACATGGATTAATTCTGTGGACAAGTTGTGGCCGTCACCATGTTGTTTGTCTAATTTCGATTCAATAACTACATACTCTGGGAAGTTGAGTTGCAAACTATTACGACAAGTTGATTATTATTACCGTTATTGATCATCCTCCTGATTTCCTTATCTCAGTATAAGGAGTATTATCCTTGCTACTTGGCTGCACGCCTTTGGGCCCATCCTCATGAGCAAATACTAGAAGGAATGAATCACTGTATTACAATTGAAATAGAAATAGAAAGGAAAAATGTTGCCTTCATCACTGTTTGTTTGGTATCTTAGTAGATAATGTTTATTTATTGTTTTTTCATAGTCGGGACCAAAAACTTCTTGATGCTTCAGTTCTTGGTTGTGGAGAACTTTGGCTGAGATGTTGTGTAGTGGCTATCTAGGACACCAAACTTGTGATCTAGTCCATTTTTCTTGTATAGCCCTTTATTGTTTCGAGGTGAAGAAATAAAGTAATTATGACGAATAACCTTCTAGTCTTAAATGAAGATTGTCACAATAGTTTCATTGGTGAAACATCTAAATTCTAAAGTCACTTCCTCAAATTATGATGTACGCAGTTTCTTTGAAAGAAATTGAAATATCATTTCAAAATTCCCCAGATTTCTTTACTGCCACAATTGGTGCCCTCACAGATTTAAGCTGAACCACATTTTTTTATTGTTTGCAAACTGGAAATTTCAGTGTAATGGGTTGGAATTAAAAAATGTATTTTTGAATTTCTGGCTATGAAAAAGGTGGTGCATCAGATTTTAATCCTCTCCCCTTGCTCTACCCGAGACGCGCGCGCGTGCGCACACACACACCCAAAGTAAATAAATAAAAACGAGAGAGCAATAATTGGTCTAATAATGTCATAACCTCTAATTCCAGGTGAGAGGACTTGTCTTTTCTCAAAGGAAGTTAGTAATTGCTAGAAAATTATTATTTCACGTGACAAAGTCTGTTTATATGTTTTACTTTTTATTGAACTCTTGCAAGTACAACAATGTCCACTATCAATTTCATGCTAAGAATAGTGTTTTTGTTGCAATATATGGTTCTTGTTCCCATTTGTTTATTGTGCTCCATGCAAGCAATAAGAGTGTGTTTGATGGATATTATTTTGGAAGAATGTATTTTGGAATAGTAGATTGATGGAGAATGTGTGGTTGAAAAAGAAGGAAAAGTTATTGATGTGATGGAAAATATTATTTTAATGAAGAATGTGTAGTTGAAAATGAGTAGAAGAATGAGAATGAAAATTTTAAAGGGTACCAAACACACCCTAATACTAAGTTTTCGGATACACGTTTTCAGATATCGATGCCTAGATTTACGTCGGCCACAGATGAACGCTAACATTATGTTGAGACATAGAGTGGTCAAACTCCTTCGTAGATATCTAGAGGATGTGCATGATTTTGTGGAGGTATTATCTTAAAATCTCATTACTCATGGGCATCTACGATCGTGCTAAATTACACTGATTTATGAAAAAATAGAAGCTAAAATCAAAACTCAATGTCATGATAACGCTATTTCTTTGTGCTGATCCTGACCTTTTTCATGGTTGTAAGGTAGATTGAGACTCCAGTTCTATCTAGGTCGACTCCAGAAGGTGCTCGGGATTATTTAGTTCCTTCAAGAATCCAGGTATTTTTTTATCTATTTTAGTTGGCTTACAAGCACTTGAATGCATGTTTTTTGTCTATGGTTAATGGTTTCTGTAGCAAATTGCTGGCAATTTTTGATGAAACCAATGATAATAGTTTCATGTGTAATTTTTGGTTTTACTTCTTCATGCTTCCCCTGCTCTCTCTGCCTTCTTTTGATTATCAGAAGGAAAGGTTTTGAAAAATGGAAATGTGTCCACATTCTTGTTCACATGAAACATTGATCCTTGTGCTTTTGGTGACACACAGTCTATTGAAAACTAAAAGCTTGTTTGGCAAGTGTTTATAAATGGTAATTTATAAATAGGTAGAAATTAGTGATGGATAAGTGGGTACTGGGTAATACTTGTGGTCTCATGAAATGTGTGGGTAAAAAGTGGTTTGATTGTTTATATATGATAGCCAAACACGGTTTGGTAAATGCTGTAGAAGTTCGGTTAGTATATTGGCTACTTTGACTTTTTTTCACAGCATTATCCAGATTACAGTCACCATTTCTAACCTCTCAATAGAAGGTGTGGCTTTTCCTTCACAAGGTGTACAATCTACCTGAGCTAATTATGAATGATGGAATGATTAAGTATATAGTTATATGTTCTTTTATGTTGTTTTGGATATTATGTTCATGGCATGGAGTTCTGAATGCTGAATTCCACTTTATAAAGCCAGGGACATTTTATGCCTTGCCACAAAGTCCACAGCTCTTCAAGCAAATGCTTATGGTCTCCGGTTTTGATAAATATTATCAAATAGCCAGGTAAGTTTCTTGGTGATGAAGGATTGAATCTTTTATTGTACTAATGTTCTTTTTTAGTTTACATTGTTCTTCATTCTATTTTCCTGCCAAAAGTTACATTTTTTGCAACTCGCATATCTCTTTTTAAATTTTATTTTTGATAATTACTGCTTACAGTTGTGCGTGGGTGACCAAGATGTATCAAATGTATTAAAATTGATGCTCTTGTTTTATCTTAGTAAAGGTTATACTCAAAGACGCAGATTTGTTGGTTGCAGAAATTAATATCTTTATCTACACCATCTATGATACAGATGCATAATTGACTCTACCCACCCATGTTTTGCAGATGTTTTAGAGATGAAGATCTAAGGGCTGATAGACAACCTGAATTTACACAACTAGATATGGAAATGGCCTTTACTCCTATGGAGGAGATGCTGAGGCTAAATGAAGATTTAATTAGAAAGGTTAGTTGGTTTATTCTACTATTCTATAATATTTGACTAAGGGATGGATGATTCCTAAAAGATTAATTGATAAAAGAAAGTGGTGAAGAAAGCTAAATTCTGCATAGATTATTACATAATTATATTGAAGGCGGCTTCTTTGTGTTAAATTATATAACCAGCATGTGACATTTTCACTGACATTTGATTGTTGATTGGAATGATAGTCTTGTATATAGAGTGTAAAACATAGGCTTTCTTTGATCTTCTATTTTCGTTCTTCACTTTCGTGGATGGATCTAGTTTGGTTTTGTCAAATCTTGGTTTGTCAATTCTTGATCAATTTATTCCTTTATGAGGGCATTCTGACAATATCAACTGTTAGTGGATAAAGCTATTTTTGGTTGAATTTGCTGAGATCAGGCTAGCAAAATGCCTACTTTGCTTATTCGTGGTGGTAAATCAGATTTATTTTATTTTATTTCTTCACCTGAAACCATATCGTAGTATATGAGGAATAGTTTGGCAACTTAGTAGAATTTTTGAAGTGTTGGTTTTATTATAGCTTCACTAATAAATTTGTAGTCCCAAAGTACTGTAAACAGGCAATTAATAGTTGGATTTTTGAACTGTCAATGTTAGTTTATGTTTGATAATCAATTATTGCCACCAATTTTCTCCACTTGTATTTTATCAAGCATGTTCAAATTCTTTGTTGCAGGTTTTTCTTGAGATCATAGGAGTTGAGCTACCAAACTCTTTTCCAAGGCTTACGTATGCTCAAGCGATGAGTCAATATGGTTCAGACAGACCAGATATTCGTTTTGACCTTCAACTGAAAGATGTAATTCACTTTTAGATTTGTGCTATTTACTTATGATTCTGATTTTCTTTTTTGGCGGTTAATGAAATCAACTTATTTCTATGTAGCGTTGATATTTAGCCCCCCTATTTGAGCTCCATTTTCTAAAACACTCATTTTTCCCCAAACTCATTTTCAACCACACATTCTCTCAATAAAATAATTTTACATATAAATCCAAAACTTTTTAATCACACATTCTCCAAAAAAATCACAATTTATTTCCTAAAATATGGGGCTCAAACATAGGCTTAATAAATTTCTTATCATCATAGTCTTCGTCCATCTCTCTTTTTGTCTGTCTTGTTCTCAACTCAACAATCTCTGTCCTACTGTAAAAGAAGATGAAGTTACCTTGTTTCTAAAACAGCAGGAAAATCTGAATTCATTAGTCTATCTTTTCCTATTTCCCATTTGCTTTTGTACCATGTTGGCATGAAGTAATTTATCAGTTGACCATTTGGTGAATGTACAAGTATTTTAGTTCTATGTTATTGGCTCATATCTTATTTTCTCAACAATCTTCAATATTTATGAATACCTTCTATATCATTTACTGTAGTGAAGTTATGAGGGTATCTTTATCCATCATCTTTTGTTTACGTTGTATTGGACATGTAAAATCATTACTTTTTTGACAAGACAAGGTGATATCATTATTCTGATCATGAACGATCTATATTTGATTATTATTATACAATTTGTCTGTCCTGTTTGCTATTTATGCAATGAAAACCATTGACATATTTATTGGTTTTTTGACGAGTTTTGCCCAGTCAATTCTATAATTAACATACTGTTTCATATCTCTTTTGTTTAACCAGACAGCTAGATTAGATGAACTTAGGCCCTGTTTGTTTATGATTAAAATCAGATTTTAATCCAAGTCAAAGTCAAAAAATTAATATTAACAACATCTTTCATGGGTCTCACAACTTTTCAACCATACATATCAAAACTTTCTATCACAATCTACTAAAAATCTAATTTTAATCCCCACCAAACACCCACTTAAAATGAATTTGCTACATTTCAAGAATATTCTGTCCTAATTTTGTGTGGTTTAAGCATTTAATGATATTACTTCAGTTTTTATTTTATTTTATTTATCTTCTACCTGCAGGTATCTGATGTTTTCTCAGACTCCTCCTTCAAGGTTTTTGCCGATACTTTGGTTAGTGGGGGAATTGTTAAGGCGTTGTGCGTGCCATCAGGAGCAAAAAATTATTCAAATACTGCTCTTAAAAAGGGTGATATATATAACGAAGCTATTAAATCTGGAGCAAGGGGTTTGCCTTACTTAAAGGTCTCGAATAATGGTAACAAACTTCTGCAAATATTGAACCCTTACATATTGGTAAAGAAGATTATGGATCACAATCGGTATTGTTCGATATATTATCTTAGGTGTCCTTGAAGGAATACCTGCACTTGTATCAAGTTTAGACACAAAAAAGCAAGAGCAGTTACTGAGCCAACTATCTGCAAGCTCGGGTGATCTTATCTTGTTTGCAGTGGGTAACCATGCATCAGTTAATAAAACCTTAGACCGGCTGAGGATGCATGTAGCCCATGAGTTGGGCTTAATTGATCCTGTAGGTAGACAATACTGCAAATTTGGATCGCATTTAATACATTTATCAGAGAAAAACGAATTTGGCTATTAGTATCTCTCCCTTTATCTGACCTTATTTTGTTTGTTCTTGCCATTTAGTCAAGGCATTCAATCCTGTGGGTGACCGATTTTCCGATGTTTGAGTGGAATGATTCAGAGCAGAGGCTTGAGGTTTGTATAGTTTCTGTATTGAGCATCAGAATTTTTTAAGTTTTAACAATGTTCCTTTTAGGAAAAAACTATGCTAAAAGCAAAAAAAGAAGAAAAAAGGGAAGAGAAGAAAAAAACTGGTGGGAATGAAATGCCTGGATTTTCATCTCATGGCTACACTTCTCTTGCAGTTTGTATTCACAACTTAATGTCTAGGATTTTAATTTATGAGGAAAACGCAGACCTGAAGAAAAGGGAACTTGTGTCCTGTTATGATGTCAGAATTTTGAGGGCTACTCTATTTTCCAAAATATGATGATAACTAATTACAAGTCAGAGCTTATAAAAAGGTGTTAGGAGTCCCTAAAAATGTGTGTCAACATTTAGATTCTAGAAAATGCATTTACTTGGTATTGCTTGTGCCAAAAATTTGAGAAGGTTCTGTTGCAATGTTTTATGATAATTACTTATATAATCACCGTATCACCATGTGCTTATAGTTTCTAGTAGCTAAAGAATATTGGTTTAATGTATCTTATCACATTGGGAAATGAAATTGTACTTCTTTTTCAGGCCTTGCACCATCCTTTCACTGCCCCTAACTCTGAGGATATGAAGGACCTTTCTTCTGCTCGTGCCTTAGCTTATGACATGGTGTACAATGGAGTTGAGGTATATGGAAACTAGTTAGATCTAGAAGTTTCTATTCTTAAATAGTAAGAGAGTACTTAAAACGTGCATACACCAAATGATAGATTGGTGGAGGAAGCTTGAGAATTTACAAGCGTGAAGTTCAAGAAAAGGTTTTGGAAATTGTTGGCATTTCCCCTGAACAAGTAAGCAGATATTTGTGATCTTATTTTATATCTAGGATACACTTTAGATTCCACAAAAATTACTGTTGTCCTGTTTTCTCTTATTATGGATTGTGTATACCATAAATTTGACCCTTCATGGGGATGTTAGAAAAACATGTTCCAGTTATGGCCCCAAGAACAAGTGTCAGTGCTGAGAGAATGGATTTACTGCTCAGTTCCATACTATATTTCCTATACATTTTTTTTTCTTTATTTTATTTGTTTCCAAAGATCGATAATAGAGGAAGAGCAGGGGAAAGATTTTAACCAGTAATTGAGAGTATATCACGAACTAGTTTGTATCACCATCTATAGTTGTGACATGGATACTGTTTTCCGTGTTCAGGCTGAAGCAAAATTTGGGTATCTTTTGGAGGCTCTGGACCTGGGTGCTCCTCCACATGGTAATGAAAGCCTTTTCTTGTTTGAAACTTTTAACTTGTTTTGTTTTTCAAAAATGTTGGTTCATAATTTGAAATATGAAAGTAACTATCAGTGAGATTGAATAAGATTACGGAGTTCGTCGAAGATGGAATAAGATTTCGGAGATCGTCGAAGATTACGATTATATTATTATATTTGTATTAGATATAAATACATTGTTTTTACTATTAATTAATATGGAAATTGATTGCTTCCATATTTAATTGTTATTTTAGTCATATTTAATGAAAGAACCTCTGACAAAGAGGGATATCGAGTCTTTTATTGAGTATATTTGACATGGTATTAGAGCCGTTTTGATCCTACACAAATTAACCCTTGAATTTCGTTTTCAGCGTGCGGCCTTGTGCTGCTCGCCCGGCCAATTTTTTTTTTTTTTGAATAAACACAATCATTTTTTACAGTTGTGCAAGTTAATTGATATCTCCACCTAAACAAATTGACCTTGTTCATCTCTTTTTTTGGATTGAGCTTTGATTTTTCCCCCCCTTTATATGGTCTTTCGTGAGTATAGAGAGACATGTGAGTGCAGATCATTGCGTTTTGGTTACTCAAGTGATGAGCTCAAGTTTAGGCTGTTTTGTGGGATTTCTTCCACCTGCAGCATCTGGAGTTTTGGCCTTAGAACTTCTGTTGGAACACGAATTATGTGTTTGACTAAGTTCTCCCGATAGATAGAGTTCACTGTGTGTGCCGGCACACTTCGTGAATTTCTTTTGGAAATTCTTTCTTGGGGAGTGAGTTTTCGTAGTATCTTTGGAGTGTTCTTGAAGTGCCTTTGGAGTAGTTCTTTGTTGTTCTTGATCTCTCGTCGTCACTAATTTTCGTAGTTG